TTCGTGATCGCCTCGTCCTTCCAACCTGTTAACTTATTAAATATAGCGACGGGCAGGGCGGGGGCGGGGAGAGAAAAAAAAAAAAACCTATAAAAAAAATATAAATTAATACTAGAACAATAGATGACTAAAGTAGAGGGTTCTTTTTTTTATTTTTATTTTATTAAAAAATATAAATTATAATATTGTAACTTATAGAAAAAAAAAAACTAAATCTAAATATATCATTAAAAGATATATTACCTGTAATTTTTCTTCCGACTAAACAACTAACAATCAAAAACTCTAGGCCAAAAATACCCTCAAATATAACTGTTTCAGACTTCTGTTTGACCTGGCAATTTTTAGATCTCTGACCATCTAATATTGCGCGTGAGAGAGAGAGAGAGAGAGAGAGAGAGAGGGGGGGGGGGGACGGAAATGTTTTTATCTGTAGAGAATGCATATTTTAATGAATGTTTCTAGTTACTCACCTTTCAATTTTGTTGTGACCGTTCGTGAATTTTTATTGCATTGTATATTTTTAGTGAACGCACTTCCAACCTCAATGCGAGACTGTTTTTCTCATAGAAATTTTTACGCATCATCATCATCATCATCATCATCATCATCATCATCATCATCATCATCATCATCATCATCATCATCCAGAGCCAGATCTGCAACAGACATCGGCGATCATAGTTTTCCATTCATTCCTTTGCTCGGATGCTCTCAAAAAAGCTTCGTTTCCCTGATCTTTCCCTGTTACCCATTTGTTTAGGTTCCTTAAGTATGTTGTTCTGGGCCTACCGCTGCCTCGCTTGCCCTCAATTTTGCCAGTGAGAGCTAGATGTTCAAGACCCTTATGTCTATTCAGGTGTCCCAAAAGCTGCATTTGTCGTTTCCTGATTGTTTTTAACATTGAGCGTCCCACGTGGGCTTCATCAAGCACTACCTCATTTGATTTCTTTTCTTTCCACGATACTCTTAGCAGTCTCCTAAGAAACCACATTTCTGTTGCTTCTGTTTTATTTTCACTGTCTTTAGTGATTGCCCAGCATTCACAGCCTTATAGAAGGGTGGACCAAACATAGCATTTCAAGATTTTCATTTTGGTGCTCATTGAGATGTTTCTATTTTTCAGGATTGGACTCATTTTATTGAAACTAGCCTTAGCCATTGTATTTCCCCGTTTTATTTCAGTGGAACATTTGGCATCAGATGTTTTCATATATCCTAGATATTTAAACTGTTGGACTTGTTTGATCTTTTCACTTTTGCTAATGAGATTACAACTAAGATTTGCTGCTTTTTTGGATATTACCAGGCATTCTGTTTTCTTTACATTCAACAATAATCCTTTACGTTCACTTTCTGTTACAACAGTATCTAGAAGCAATAGAAGATCCTTTTCTGAGCCTGCTATTAAAACTGTGTCCTCTGCATACCTGATGTTATTAATATTTTCTCCATTTACTTCGAGACCTGGGCATTCTTCTATGTTTCTAAGGATTTTTTCACTGTACATGTTAAAGAGGTCTGGTGTCATAACACATCCTTGCCTCACTCCTCGCCTAATCTGCTTATATAGGCCTACACTGTATTCTCCATTAATTCGTACAGCAGCGTTTTGGTCCCAGTACAAATTTCTGATAATTCTTAGATCTTTTCCATCTATGTCTAGCTTTTCCAGTATTTTAAATAGCTCATCAAGGTCTAACTTTATCGAACGCCTTTGAATAATCTATGAAGATAAATACAGACCTGTCTGTGCTTCAATACATCTTTCCATTGACATTGTTAAGGTGAATATATACTTAGCGTCAATAAAAACCAGACACATTTTAATTGCGTGTTTAAAAAAAAGTTGAAATCCCATTGAGCTGAAATTTTCCGCACGTGATTGTGAACGCTTGACGCTCCTGATCAGCCTGCATTTATGATCAGGTGCCCAATTAATAAAGCTCAGGTCTTGTTTTGTTAAAAACCGTGTTATGTCATTTTTCTCGAACATTTTTGGTTTTTAAATTTTATTTTTTGGGTTTAACACATCTTTTATCTGTAGCCAAGAATAAAACGTTAAAAGTTTCATTTCAAAACATCTAAATCTAAAGATACAGCATGCCGCGTTTCACGAACGAAGAGCGCAATCAGGCAGTTGGTATGCTGAGGGCCAATACGCCAGTAGCGAATGTTGCAAGGACCTTCAATGTGACAAGAGACACGATATATCGACTAATGAATCGTTTGCAGACGTCTGGATCCGTGCAGGATGGTCCCCGGACGGGTTGTCCTAGAGCTACAACACCAGCCCATGACCGGTACATTCGGGTCTTGCACCTACGAGATCGCTTCCGGCCTGCTACCAAGACAGCCAGGGAGTGGAAGGGACGGAGAACCATAAGTGCGCCGACGTCTTAGACCTCAGCCGGTCACCTTGGATCAGCTACGTGCAGCACTTACAAACATATGGATAAACATTCCACAGCACCCCGTACAAAGACTTTTGCGAAGCATGCGGCAGAGGTGCACAGAAGTCGCCAATGCCCACGGCGGCTATACGCGGTATTAACTGTGACTTTTCATTTTAGGGCCTACAATTAAAAGATCAAATTTCAGGAAATAAAGTTCATTTAAAAAAATTGTTTTTTGTGTAATTGATTTGTAAAATGTTCAAACTTTCCTTATAGAGAGATTGTTTCTGGTTAAAATCAGTTGTTCATTACAAAAAACACAAAAAAAGGGGTGTCTGGTTTTTTTGACGCCAAGTATAGCATTTCTGGTGCCTTAGTCAGGAACAAAGCCGAATTGCGTTTTAGGTATCTCTGGTCTTACACTTTTTCTCAATCTTCTCATTATTACTCGAAGCAATATTTTCGTAAAATGGCTCATAAGGCTAATTGTTCTATGCATATCACACTCAGTGGCACCTGGTGTTTTAGATAAAGCTATAAAAACTGACTTCATCATATCTTATGGGATCTCACCGCTGTCATAAATAGCATTTAGGAGCTTTGTTGTTATTTCAGTGCCTAGTTCTTCGAGCACGACAATAAATTCAACTGGAATATTATCTGGCCCAGTGGCTTTTCCTTGTTTCATTTTCCTAATGGCAGCTTGTACTTCTGCTTTCAGTATTGGTGGTCCATTTATTTCATTCTTCATTACAGGCTTTTCTCCTCTATTATCTTTGAAAAGTTCTTCTATGTATTCTGACCATCTGTTTAAGACATCCCCGTTGTCCATTAAAATATCCCCTCCCTTTGATCTTATGCATCCTGTATTTGAGCATCCTTTTATCCCACTTACTTCTCTGATTTTGGAATGCATGTATTTGCTGTCTTTATTTTGGTTCTTCTGTATTTGTTGACACTGATCATTTATCCATGTTTCTTTTGCTTCGTTGCATTTTTTTCTTTATTTCCCTGTTTAAGATGTTGTACTTTTCCACATTTGATTTCGCCTTTCTTCTCTCTTCCATTAGTTTTAATATGTCCTGGATCATCCATTTTTATTAGCTTTTTTAGCTTTCGGGGGGATATTTTCTTCCACAGCTTCCATTATTGAGTCTTTCATTTTCCTCCAAAGTTCTTCCGATTTAGGAATGTTTTCCAAAGCTTGAAATTTATTTCTTACATCTATGGAGAAACATTCTTTCAGTTCTTGATTTGTCTTTAAAAGACCAATGTCAAATTTAGGTTGATTCTTTGACTTTTTGGGTTTCTTCAGTCTTATCCGCAGTTTACACATTATATCATAATACTGTGATCTAAATACACGCATGTCGATTAATTTTTAAGATGTGATGTCTTTTTCGATGTAATGCGCATTGAGCATTTTTTAAAATAGAAAATGGAAATGCGCAGTATAAATGCTATTATTAATATTATTGGCGAGGGGTACAAGCGGAAATGGAAAAGGCGGGGACATAATGGAAACAGCTAGAAAAGGATTCACAGGACAGGCTTCGCTGGAGGAATGTTGTTGATGGTCTATGCAAGAGAGAGAGAGAGAGAGAGAGAGAGAGAGAGAGAGAGAGAGAGAGAGAGAGAGAGAGAGAGAGAGAGAGAGAGAGAGAGAGAGAGAGAGAGAGAGAGATCATCATCATCATCATCATCATCATCATCATCATCATCATCATCATCATTATCATCATCATTCTATCCTTGCAATGACAACCGTCACCCCCCCCCCCCCCCCTCGAGAGAGAAAAAAATACAAAAGAGGAGCCCCCCCCCCCCCCGCCTCCTCACCATTAAAATATTAAGAGAGAGAGAGAGAGAGAGAGAGAGAGAGAGAGAGAGAGAGAGAGAGAGAGAGAGAGAGAGAG